CCCCCGCTGCCCCCCTCATTTTTCGTTGCGGAGCGGGTAAAAACCGGGAAAATCGCCAGAAATGATGCCCGAAACCACTGTAGAACTTGACGAGAACCCTTGAAACGTTGCGCTCAGTCGGAGAACTGCAACACAGGTACTGCCGCCCACTTTAAGGACGGAAACATACATAAAACTCCCGCTGCCCCCCTCTCTTTTCGTTGCAGAGCTGATAAGAACCGGGGCATCATTTCTGGCGATTTTCCCGGTTTTTACCCGCTCCGCAACGAAAAATAAGGGGGGCAGCGGGGGTGTTTTGGATGTTCCCGTACTTTAAGGGGGTGGCAGTCCTTGTATTTCAATGCTCCGACTGATCGCAACGTTTCAAGGGTCCTCCTCAAGTTGGACATTAGTTTCGGGCATTATTTGTAGTGAATTTCCCGGTTTTTACCCGCTCTGCAACAAAAAATGAGGGGGGCGGGGGGCTAAGAGTTTTGAAAACTCACTTTAAAGTCGCAGGCTTCGTTTGCGTTAACATTGGCAAGAAGTTCCACTCGGATTTGATGCTAAGTTTGAAGCTCTTCTGTGACTTTTCGCATTTTAATGCAATGTTTCATTGTAACAGGCCCATCCCCCCCTACGGGGGGGCTGTGGTGGCCCGGGGGCAATATGAAGACTTCGGTATCAGACTTGGAGTATTCGAGGACTCTTTGAAAAGAGAAACGGTATGTCCAAGAGCCGCCGAAGCTACTCTAAAAAATGAAGGTACGGACCCCCTAAATAACCTTTGGACCCCCCTAACTTTTGACAGGGGGGTCAGATCGACTTCCGGTTTGCGCCAAAAATTTTCTTTTTTCATGCTCTTTCTAACGTTGTATCACATGATGGGGGTTGCCATTTGAAATTTTTGAGTTGCCCCCCGCCCCCCCTCCCCCTGAGGGGGTGAAGAACTGAAAAGTACCTCAAAAAGTTTCCCCCTCGATATGAGGAAGGACGCCACAAACCGCAAATCGATATCATAATTAGAACTAAAGTTATGGCCAGTGGTGCGTAACTTTTGAATAACCCTGTATATATATACATACATATACGTGGATGCAAATACTTAAGCAATGTACTATTTTTTAGAGCGAGCTGGCATCATGTGATACTTAAAAATGAATTTTACCATTTCTTTTCATCATTTTTAGTATTATCTATTTGTGTCGGTGCAAAATGTCCCGAAAATTGGAGGTGAATTTGTGAACCCTGAATCAAAGTCAAATGAAAGCCTAAAAACACCTGAAAAATGGCCAAATTTTCCCAGAAAATCGTGATTTCCGTCCGAACGGGCAACATCGGGCAGATGAACCGCTGATTTTCTGAAAGTACACATACCACTGAATAAATCCACGTGCACAAAAGTTCGATGTTTGAAGGTGCTTTTTTTGGCACTCCATGAGAGTAGAAAAAAGGGTTAAAAATGAGCAGTATTTCAAAATGCAATATTCGCCACAAAAAAAAAAAGGATTTAAAGATTGGAAAAACCAAAAATAAATAGTGCTTACTAGTGGGAATGAAGCTGCCAGGAAGTAAAACGCAGAAGTAGTGAGAAATGAAATTAGAAAAAAAAATTAAATTAGCTTTCATTTTAAAAAAAAATTATATTTGATGTTCTTTGGGGTTTAAAACCCCGTTATGAAAAATAACGAAACATGGCAACACAGCAACGTTGAACTATTTTATCTCTCGGTTTTATGTGTTTTGAAAATAAGTACTTGTTAAATTTTTTTCGGTGCAAACTTGAGCTTGATATCCTATGTTTTCGGGGAGTTATCCAGCTGAAAGAGTTGTATCCGATTTCCCCCAAAACGGGGCCCAAAACCCCCCTCAAAAGCTTCTTTCAAAAACTTCTGTTTGTCGCAAGATAGTACGTACCACGAAGAGTAACTCACCAAATTTTTATGAAATTTAAACAATTTTTAACGGAGATATCGATTTTTGACACTCGTCCCCCAGTAATCAACGCACTGTGCGCCGGTCTGCCGGCCCTCGACCGGCCGCGACTCGCGATTGTTCTCATTGTGCTTACTTTGGGTTTCTCTCCGTCAGCCGAACCCGTGTTAACGACACCCTCTACCTACTAGCCGCTGAAAATTTGCCGACCAATCTTTTTTAATAGCGGAATTACACAGTTGCACTTCAGTGCTTGACTACCTAGCTGACCTCTCGAGGTCGGAGAGCTGAAGAGCAGTTTGGAGACTGACGTAGCATGACGTAGCAAGTCTCCGGGTAATTCCTCCGGAGTCAGAACAACGGTTGTTTACGTCTCCGGGTAACTCCGGAGAGCTTTCCGGAGACTTTAGCAACGCAGCTTAACCTATCCTCCTCTTCCCCGCGCGCTTAATGTCTTTGCCCGCGCAGCACCACGGTGTTTACAATGTTGCCGGACTGTCTTTGAGAGATCAGCGTTGACGTGAAGTGAAACTGAATAAAATGGATTTTCGGACAGTAAGCAGCAGTTTCACAGCTCCGCGACCGTTCAATTCGTCATCTGCACGACGAAGGGGCGTATCATCAAAATTGGACATTTTGAGTTACCTATGAATGGATCCCTCTCAGCTCTCAGGGCCGTTCCTGTCAAATCATTCAACTAGTAGTTGACTGTCTGTTAAGGTTCAACTAGAGGTTGGTGTGTCTTGTCAATTTACAACTACTGGTTGAGAGGCTGTTAACGGGCTGATTTTCAACTGGTGCTTTTTCTGCCTGTTAGGATTCAACTAGGACTTCAGACAAAACATTCGTTCCGGTTCTTCGCGTTTCACTGGTTCACAAAGAGCCTGATTTAACTACCTGGGCTCGGTTTGCGGACCCCGCCACCCGCACCCTCCTCTTTGCAGGGGTTGTTCTGTCCTCTCGTTCAACTGCTAATTGAATTTTCGGCAAGGGTTCCCAGACATTAGAAACAACCTGATGAAGGATATGAGGGAACAAATCATGTTAATGCACTATTTGGCAAGTAGTCTTTGTTCAGTAACTAGAGGTTGAAAATCAGTGACAAGACTCTCCTTCAGGTCGAACTGGAAGTTACCTTTAACTGGTAGTTCGTCAACTAGCAGTTGAGACCCGATTTGACAGGAACGGCCCTCAAGCTCTTTCTTCCATCTTCCATTGAGCCTTATTTAAAAGCTTAACTCTCAATATTAACTGCGTTATTATGGAAAGACAAAAAGGCGCATCATAAAGCAAACACGAGGGTTTCGATGATACGCCGCACTATGGTCCAATAGCCCGATTTGAGCGGCAATAAATCGGAAAAATGAAGTTTGGAAAAAGTTCGATTTCAATACGCAGATCGATAGTACATACTGTAAAAAAGACTCCTGTAAAATATCATCTAGATTGAAACACTAATAAAGATGTGACAAGCCTGGGAAGTGCGGCGCGCGGAGCACTTTTGAGTACGCTTCCAGTTACCGAGCGGCAGTGCTGTGTTTAAGGGCTTGTTTTCGTTGTTTCACCGTAACTGAAAGTGTTTGGGTACTTGATTTACAAAATATAAGGTAATTTCTAGATGTTCCATGCTGAAACAATTCTTTTTTATCATGTCTAATGCTCTAGATTAACCCTTAGACATAGTCAGTTTTTTCAATAAAATCGCAAAAGTATGACCCAAAAAATATACTTTGCACCTCTGAGCACCTCGTAATTTTACTCGGAAGTTATTGTCATGACTCTAGACTTCCTTTTAGTCTGAGTGGCAGATCCATAGTCCACCATAGCCTCAAGTTATTTCTCATGAAAAATGACGTTTTCGCGTTTCTTAGCAGTCACTACTATTAGCTATCATATGCCATTGACGATGCATTTTATCATGTTTCACTCTCATATTCTATCAAAACAGATGCCTTAGAGCCTAAATTTACCCAGGCAGAATAATACGAGTTGATGGGGCTGATCGGAAGGAATTGAAACTTATGCTCAAGAACAGCAAAGAATCGCCTCGGGAGGCCACTTTAAAGGTCCCGTAAAAGTTTTTTTTTTGACGTTTTACCATGTTTCAAACATATAATCTATCAGAATGGATACATGTAGGCTCAAGTTTAGCTTGGCAGATGAAAACGCGTTCAAAGGGTTGATCGGTGGGACTTGAAAGTAAGGCTCCCAACCGATGAAATCGTCTTAGGAAGCTACTTTGAGGTCCCGCAAAAGTTTTTTTTTTTTTGACGTTTACCCATGTATCAAACACATAGTCTATCAAAATGGATATATTTTAGCTTAAGTTCAGCTTGGCAGACGAAAACAAGTTCAAACGGCTGATCGGTGGAACTTGAAAGTAGGCCTCCGCAGCCATGAAACTTTGAAGTATTATCCTGAGCTGTCTTTTTCAAGTTCCCTTTACAGTAGTGTTCGACGAAGTTCTACTTTTAGCTTCTTATAGAGTCCATCAAATGTAAAATTTAATTGTGAAGCTTAAAAAAAAAAAAAAAAAATTCCTCCGAGGATCGAACCCGGGACCTAAGATTTACCAATTGGACACGGTGTCCACTACACCGCTGCGAAGCCATTGGAATTCCGCCTCAATTCAAGGTTTTACCACAAATTATACCGCAGTCATAAGAAAGTAAAAAAATGTTAAAAATTGATTTTTTTCCGAAAAATGTTAGCATATTTGCACTCAGCGACCCAAAAAACCCCTGAAAACTCATGTTGCAAGGTATAAACATACATATCTGATTTAATGCCGCTTAAATCGGGCTATGGGACCATAGTAGGGGTGATCGAAATTCCCGACTTGAGCGCTATACAATCCGAATAGAGAAAAAAGGTGGCCAAATTGCATGTAGATTACGGGAAAAATTGTCCGCAGCCGTAATTCCAACGGGAACATGGCGCTCAAGCCCTTCGAATATTTGCATCGTTAAAATGCCTAAAAAATCAGGTTTTTTCTCATTCGGGTCGGTGGAAGTGCCCTCAAACACGCAATTGCAGCATCAAGGAAATGTTTTCCTACGTATTTTTTCACGAGGGAGTCGCGTTTGACAAGCCGTCCGAGCTAGTCGCTTGATACAGTGCTCCTCTCGTTTGTTACGTAATCGCTCTGACAGGCTTTTTAGCCACGTTTAGGCTTCTTAAAAGTGTATTTTTGTGTTTATTTTACCTAACTATGAACTAAAGTGCACAAAATCCCTCTTCTGCTAGGGCCCTAGGCCCTAGCCATGTCTCTAGAACATTTTGGTAGAACTTTCAAATACTTTGTATAGACTTTAATCCGTTTTAAGTGTCCAGTGTTGTTGTGTCCAACAATGAGTTCCACGTCTATGGAAACAGACGAAACAATAGTTTCTTCCGATATAATCGGTAAGGTAAACAATGTCCTTAACGATAAGATAACCCTAAGTGAGGCAACCTCAAAAGATCTAATCTTTGGCAAATACAAAGTTGTCAAAGATTCTCTTAAATCTCTCTTAGAAGCGCATGTCTCGATCAAATCGGAGAACGACTTACTAAAAGCAAGAATGGATAAGCTTGAGCTTGCCATTAAGAACCAATCCAATACCAAGGTACAACCCTCTCAACCTTTGGTAACTTCTAAACCCCAACCTCAAAGGGCCAACCCAGACCCAAAACAGCCTCTTATAAACAAGTTTATTGCCCCGACTCAAGGCAATTTTTTTGCTGTTTTACAAAAGTCCGGGGAAAATGGTGATGATGATGATGACGATGCAGATGTATTTCTCCCTAAGGACCCTGAAGTTAGGAAAACTCTATCTCGTGTTAAAAGGAAACTGCTCAGCAGCCCAATTAAACCGGCTAAGGATACCAAAGGTGGACCCTCTACCTCAGCTTCTCAAAAGAAGAAGGCTAGGAAAAACTTCGCCTATGACTCCACAGCTGGGAAAAACCGCCCTGTTAACGATATCACTGCAGCCAACCAATCAAAAGGGACACAACCTGTTGACAAGGATGGCAAACAGAAGGAGACCGCAACCACATCGGATGGAGAGGAAACTCCAATAGTTAAGCCCAGTAAGATTTTTAAGCCACCTCCAATCAAAATTATAGGTATGCAATCCATTTACGAAATAAAGGGATTAATATCTAGTATTGTTACCGAGCCCCCTATTTTACAGGACTCTTGGTTCGTCAAAGTTATCAACAATGAAATTTTTTCAATTATCTCTAGTAATGATGACACTTATAGAGCCATCAGAGCTACTCTCGAAGCGAATAAAGTTAATTTTTATACCTATGAGAATAAGAATACACGGCCCATTCGAGTAATTGTTCGCGGCCTTCACTTTTCTAACTCCTCTGAAGAAATTTTGGAGGACCTTAAAACCAAAGAATTTCCCATTTTGAGAGTGGATCAGATGATAATAAAAGAGAGGAAAGAGATTAAGGAAGGTGATACGACCCAAATTAAAATCAAAAAAGTTCCAATTGGAACTTTCACTTTGACTTTTGCCAATGGAACTGACATTGAAAAAATTTTCAAGATCAATTCTATCTGTAACGTTAGGGTTAAAATTGAGCCGCTCAAGGTTGATCCAACTGTTGTACCCCAATGCATTCGTTGTCAAGGTTTCCGACACACAAAAAACGGATGTTATAAACACCCTGTATGCGTAAGGTGCGCGGGTCC